TTTGATATATGTGAGTCATTAAAATATATTTGATCATGAAATTCGAATGTGTGGATTGAACTAGCTCACTTGTTCTTGTTGTGAGGGCACATGGTTTCACGAGGGATAGATAACGTTATTAGACTTCTCTATGGTGTTGGGTGTTCAAGCCATGAATGCATTGTGACATTAAGTCAGTTTTTGAGGTTAGGGTTGTTGTGAGCATGTTGTCTTTGTTTAAATATTTTTAAAGAATGACATAAGTAAAGGGAAGTGTATATGATGCGTATTCTAGAGCCTAATTGTTGCAAATAATCATGGTGATAGGTGTAGAGTACTTTGAATGACAGGAGCTTAATTTTGTTTCGTCTACTATAATGATGTTTGTTCGAGGACGAACAAAGGTTTAAGTGTGGGGTGGTGATGTTGGGCATATTTCGATATGTGTTGATGTTACTTTACCTGTATTTTAACTGCTTTTTGATGCTATTTGATCTTTAAAATGCCCAACATGGTTTAATTATTGGTTTTATGACTAATTGAGTTGTGTGTGATGATTTAAGGTGTTTGGAGTGCAAAAATATGAAGAAAAGGTGCTCTAGCCAGAGGAAGAGGGGTTGGATGCGTCGCATCCAATCTAGAAAAAAAATAATATCAGATTTCGTGCACCCTTAGCAGTGAAGTCGGCCCATAGCATCCGCCTTAGCATCCGCACCTGGGCAAAGCTGAGAAGTAGAGGACGAGGTGGATGCGTCGTATCCACCCTCGCATGCGAAGCTGAGAAATGGAGGACGAGGTGGATGCGTCGCATCCACCTTAGCATCAATCCCTGAAGCCGATTTGGACTAGGAATAGGAGAACTTTGGCCCACGACTTTTGTACGCAATATATAAGCCAAAAACGCCTCCTTTAGGTCATCCAACATATTGAAGAGAAAAAAAAAGCCACAACAAAGCTTGAAAACTACGGAATTCGTCTTGAGTTCTTATTCTCTCTTTCTTTTATTGATTCTTACGCACTCTTGTGAATTTTTGATGATTGCCTGAATATGAGTGGCTAAGAACCCTATTATTCTAGGGTCATGGGTATACATGAATGTTGATGTTTAAAGTTTAATTTGACGAAGTTAATTTTATCATATTGAGTTGTTTTTTTAATTCTGTTTTTAATTATTTTGCTGAGTAGCTAACAGTGAAATACTATCTACGAATCTAGAGTTGAACTCGAAAGTGGGAACTCTAGATTGCATATAGAATTAAATAGAGCAAGTTCTTAAACCCGGGCATCGGGGAACGGATTCGCAATTAGGATAGACATATACCTAATTGCCTTACTCGGTTGCAATACAGGAATTGTAAATGCGTTCTTGTTAAACTTAATTCCATAGACATATAGGTATTAAGTTAGCTTGAATAGGCGAGTAAGTACTTAACCGATTCCTCTGAGTAATATCAACCCCGTGAATCAACAATCCAGATAAATCAATTAGTTATTTTAAACTAAGAATGCACATGATTGTTAGATAACCCGTGACCCTGGAATATTATATCCTATTGATTGTTATTCAAAACTATTTAAGTGTTGTGGTTGATTCCTAATATTTCATTACTTGATAGTCTTCAGGTAGTAATTCAGAAAATTATCTATTTTGTGAGAAATCTTTTGAATCAATAAGGCATTTGAGTTAGAATCAGTCGAAAGTTAATCATAGGTCTTCATGGGTACGATACTCTACTCATTACTCTATTACTTGACGACCACGTATACTTGCGTGAGTGTGCGTTTGGTCCCAACATTTATTTATTTATTTATTTTTTTAAATATGACATCGCTTACAAAATTTATGCCCCTGGTCAAACATAAATAATTTTACGTTGTCCGACTCCGCTTCAATATTTATTTACATAATAGCAATTTGTGGAAATTGACACCAGCATAAATGTTGTACATAAACCCACATTTCAATAAGAATTGAAGCTGAGAGCTCAGTCTTGAAATGTTTCTATTAAGATGCACTTAATATGCATAATTTGATCTCATCTTCATTTCATAATATTTTAGTCTTGCCTAAATCAAAAGCATTTTCTCTAAAAAAAGCTGAACAAGAAAACTTCAAGGTATGGTCTTTATTTGCAATAATGCCATTGCCAATGCATGATGTTGGATCTCAGTTGTCCGTGAGACCATTATAATTACGGAGGCTTGTAACAAGTGACATCTTCAAAATGTTAATTATTTTGAAGTACAATTATGTTAGAACACAAATTCTCGTTTAAATCTGCCATATCAAACTTAAAATGTACATATTATTTATCTTGTAATTGTTGAACAAATAAAATAGCAAATAGTGCAAACTAATTTAAGTGTTTTTTAAGAACATATCTTGGAAGACAAGCAAGAATCATTAATTATACTTAGAATATATATATATANTTAATTATGTTTAGTGTAAATGATTCAAGTCATCCATCAAGTTGCATATCTATGGACAACATATTAATCACTGCATGCACTATGCTTGAAAAGAAAGATTAAACTTGGAGCAATCCAAAAAATATAGAGAATAAAATAGAAAGGTGCAAGATCACTTTTAGCCCGCAGTCGAAACTATTTACATTCGGTAGCGGTCAAAGTATATAAAATTTATATATTTTTTGTATATAGCATACAAAAATATATACAAAAAAAAATATTTTTTGACTATTATTTTGAAAGCGACTCTACCCAGTGTCATTTTTTCAAATAGAATGTTTTTTGCCTAATAGTTGCTTTTTATGGTGGACATTTTTTTCTTTTTCCTTTGTTATGATGGAGGTTTATGCCCATTGCCATTGAGGTAATTCTATTCTTTTTGTTGAGGTACTTCTTTCAATGCACTTCATCTTGTATTTATGTTCAATCATTGTAATAGAATTGGAAACAAATCATGCAATTAAGCCTTTGTAACTTTTGTTTGCCCAATATCTTGGATCTTCTTCAATGTTTCCAAATGCCTATGAGGACAAATATATGTAAAAAAAAAAAATCTAATTAGGGTTTGATTTTTTTCCTCTTATTATTTTATCCCTTCAAAAGTTTCAAATTTCGAACATTCTAAATTTATATGGTCCAGTCGTTGACTTTATTGGTCCAATATTTTCAAAATTTTAAATTAACTCATGTCAACTAATTCAAATTAAAGAATAAAAAATGAATATGTGAAATTCCATTAAGTATCTTATCTAAAATAATGACTCGAAAATTCAAAATCATGGCTAAAGTTAATAAGTTAGACCAGATTTCTAACCTTTGTCAAGTAGAGTTCAGCGTCAAGAATCATTTCATTTAATATGTAATTTTCATGATATGCATAACATAATTCTATTAACCGAATTGGATAGCGATTAATTTCTTGCACAAATTCACAAAAAATCTAATCCTTGTAATCTATTCTCTTATTATGGTCAAACAAGGCAAGTAATTAATTACTTAAACATATATAAATAATGGTCATTAGAAACTGAATAGAAATATCAGTACAAAATTAGCAGCGAGAATAAGAGCTAGAGGCATTTTCATTGTATTAGAAAAATGGAAATGAAGAAAAATGATGCTTTCTTTACCATGATAATAGCATTTGTGATAATCTTAATGTTCTCTACTTTTAAATCAATAACTTGTGCTAATGATGATTGTTTCATTAATTGTATGAAGAAATGTCCAGCAGAAGATTATCAGTGTTATGATCGTTGTGGATGGGACTGTCCACATAATACTTCTATTTCGTCTCATTATTGCAATCTTGGATGCTCATTTCGCCATTGTGCACAATTGTCTAAAGGTTTGCATCTATATTTTTTATACACGAATTCATGAATTTTATTTTAAAATATATACAAGAAAAATTAACTTAAATAGTTGTTCATCCAAGCGCTTAAACTAAATATAATTAGTGAGTATATAGTATGCGTATAATCCATGCATAATTTGTATATCACCATATATGATCAATATATAATCTATATATACCGGTTAGAAAAATTAAATAGTGAATTTGGTTAGCTATTTGTGTAAAGATCCTATATTTACATAGGTTATATAGTTAATGACTACTCAGTATTATGTTTTAGATTTTCTGTAGACAACATCAGGTTAAGTTAAGTGTTGAAAAGTTATCTAGCTGTTGAAAAAAATATTTTTCTCCATTTTTCATATATTTTTTATTATGTTTAGTACTAGTAGAAATTCAATTAACTTTTTCTAAAGTTTAGAAATTATTGTCTATATGTATCTGTTATTGATACTTACTAATTGAGAATGTATTATCGCAGATGGAAAAGAATGGCAAGCTTGTACAAACAATTGTGCCACCAATATTTGCAACATCAAGGCCAAGTGATTGATCTTATAAGCTCAGAAGGCAAATTAGTATTTGATGCAAATCAAAATGTATTCTGTATTATCATTTGAATAAGAGTTCTCTTAATTGCTAAAGCTTTTGTTCTTGGTCTTATTCTTTTTTTTCTCTTAGTCTTATTCTCTTTTTATTTTTTTCATGTAGAGATCGTGTAAAGTGAGCTAACCTTCATATATAGTAATAGCACGCGTTAGCGATTTTTCTGACCTTTAATATTGTCATAAATTTTTTAAATTTCACAGGTGAAACTCCATGACAACGTGCTGAAAATTTAACGGTGAAATATAAAACTCCATAACAATGAAAATGTTGCAATACAGGAGCTGAAAGTAGCTATTTGCGAATTTGATCTCTTTTACATGATCATTATTAAAGAAAAGGAAAAATAACATTGTATAGCCACTCTCAAAATAATAGCCGAAAAAATATATATCTTATATATATATATATATATATNTACATTTTTGCGGCTACCAAATGTAAGACTAAACGTGATATTTGCCCTAAAGAAAAGGCATATGGGCCGTTAATTAACACTCAAGCCGTTTTGCTACTTTGGTTCATAACGTAAGGTATACCTTGGGCCTAAAGATACGAGGATAACATGAACAATTGGGAAGAAATGGCGTGAGATAACCACTTTTTAACATGGTATTTAGTTTTTATCCAGTATTTTTAATGCTGAGAATAAATAGCCACTACTCTATTAAAATTAATAAGAAAAGACGTTGTTACCCTTTCTTCATGAGTGTTGTGTAAATATTAAGGACATAGTGTTCTTAACATTTATACTGCACACATGAAGTTAAGAACGTCGTGTCCGTAATATTTACACTACACATATGAAGTTAAGGACATCATGCCCTTAATATTTACACAACACTCATAAAGTTAAGGACACTATGTCCTTAACATTTACACTATACATATGAAGTTAAGGATATGAGATCCTAAAGTTTAATAATAGAAGGTGCAAATACAAGTTAAGGACATTATGTCCTTAACATTTACACTGCACACATGAAGTTAAGGACGTCGTGTCCTTAACATTTATACTGAACATATGAAGTTAAGGACATGAAGTCCTAAAGTTTAACAATGGAATGTGCAAATACAAGACACTTTTTCCTTAATATTTACACAGTATTTATGAAGTTAAGGACATCATGTCCTTAATATTTACACAACACTCATAAAGTTAAGGACACTATGTCCTTAACATTTACATTACACATATGAAGTTAAGGACATGAGGTCCTAAAGTTTAACAACAGAAGGTGCAAATACAAGTTAAGGACATTATGTCCTTAACATTTACAATGCACACATGAAGTTAAGGACGTCGTATCCTTAATATTTACACTGAACATTTGAAGTTAAGGACATGATATCCTAAAGTTTAACAACGGAATGTGCAAATACAAGACACTTTGTCCTTAATATTTACATAGTA